CTGGGCCATACTTTTTTGTTTGTTTGCATGTTTCCTAATTTTGTTGTTGTTGTTGTTAAAAAGTGAAAATTTTAAATAAGATAATGTAGCAACTCTGAAATTAGGTAAGCTCTTTTCCCCTGGGTTTATGTTTACTGTTGTTTGTTGTAGTAGTTTGATTAGTGACTTTCATGAACAACTCTGTTAAGTCTCTATTCTTTGTTGTGTGTGGTTGCTGAAGTCTTTGTTTGGCCCATGTGGTAGTCAGCCAATTTGTGGGCAGAGATTTTCCTAGACACTTGAAATCAGTAAGTGTCCCAATGTTTACCAAGAGCCTCTTTGTGTGTGTTGGGACATAGTTTTAATACTAGCCAGGCATTTGACAGCTCCGCCTCAGCTTTCACTTCCTGATTTCATAGAACCTCAAAATCATCAAGAGGTGAGAACTTAGAGCCTTCTCAGGTCTTTTTTGAGTATGAACACAGTCCTGGGCATGCACACAGCTCTAAGTTAAGCATGGTCTTATAGAATCCCCAGGTATTAGCTTTTTAAAACACCTCTGCACATCTCAATCATCATCTTTTCCATTTAAGGTTTTGGGTTGGTCCATTTTTTTTGCACCAAACTTTATTCACCACCCGCAGCATCTATGAAGTTAAACAATTGTCTATAATTGCTTTTAACAAATACCTCTGGGGAAAAAGCTTTTCACACTGGTAAACTCAGACTCAAGTCAAATACTGACAGCCTTGCAAGTGGGATCTTCCAGGGGCCTATCAGACAAGTCAAATAATGGCAATTCTTTGGGAATTAGGGTCTGAAAGGTCTCCAGCCCTAATCTGCTCTCTCCAGTGGCTTTTGTACTGCAAATCCAGTGGTTTTGACTGTGAATGTGGGCTATAATTTTTTTTAAAGCTACTGTAGGGCTGAAAAGTAGGGGATGGGAATAAATCAAGTTAAAATGTCACAAAGTTCTCCTTTTTTAACCAATATTCAGCCATTTTTCTTGAATAAATGCTCTCCTGGTTGCATAAGCCTTTGTTTTCTTTCCAGAGTTCTAAAAAAAAAAAAAATGATTTCGAGGTTTTTCCCCCCAGTTTTCTCACTGCTTTTATGGAGAGAATTTTCGAATTTACTTACTCTGCCATTTTCACTGATGCTGCTCTAGTGTGCAACATTAATGGAAACTCATCTTCATGAAGGAGCATAAATATGCTTTCAAGAGATAAAACCTAGAGCTTGCACAAATAAGATCAGAATAAAAGACTTCTATTTTGATAAATGGTGAATTTCTAGCAGTCTGTGGCACCAGGGGATGATATAAATGTAATATTTAACAAGATAAATTGCTTTCTCATTGTGTCAGAGGCAGGTAGGATTGCCTTTGGTATTGGGGGGAAGGCCGTTGATGGACACTGGAAAACATGGTTGCAAAAATCTAGCCACGTAGTCAAAAACTAAAGGAAGAAACATGGCTGCAGGGGTATTTGAGATAAAATCACAAGCTTGGATGAGTTGTGATTGGTTGTTATGAGAAATAAAGTCACCTCCCTTGAAACCCAGATTGATAAAATTACTGCGGTGTCTTCCTTAAAGGCTGTGATCTTCTACACGGTAAAGATTGCTGTTCATTTTAGAGCATAGCATGTTGCCTATTTACACGTGTATTTGTGAAGACTTTCAGTTGTGAGTTGGTTTACAATTAAAATTGGCTTAAGTAAAACAGTTTATTTTATATATCAAAATTTCCAAAGATGGCAGACAGAGACATAGCTGGATTCAGAAACTCAGAAATCTTGCCCAAGAATCTGTCTTCTCCTGCTATTGTCTTTGATTTCCTTTGTTTGCATTTCACTTGAATCAGTCTGCCAGGACATGACGCTGGCATATGTCATTGGGCCACATTTGGGTCATGTGCTCATCTGTGAAGCCTGACCTGGTAGTCTCAGATCAGCACCATCCAAGCCACATTAATTGGTAACAAAGTAGGAATATACCCAAAGGAAAATAAAATGTCATCATTACAAACAGAAGGTTGGATGGACATTCAGCATCCATGAATGCTTATCAGGCAGAATTAATGCCTGCCCGTTACACACAGCAAACACACATATTGATTTCTTCAGTTGCATTATGAATAAAATTTAGCCATTTGTTCTGGAATCGTGATGTAGTCTCTGTTCTTCGTACACACTGTAATCACACCCAGACCCACATCACTATCCAACCTTTGGTGAGTTCTCATCTCAACTTCTGCAGTGCTTCCTGCTTCCTGTCCTTGCTGCATCCCTTAAATATAAAGGTACATGTAGTTCGTGTCCCTGGTGGGAATGGGATACTCAGGAACATGGACTAGAATTACATGCTTTTGGACTCAACTCCTTGAGACTCCATACAGAGGAGAGGACATATGTAAAAAAATCCCAACTTATTTTTTCATCTTACTTAGATTGGGTTGGCATTGTTTACAACTGTTCATTACAAAGCTGATTTTTTATTGACAAGCAGCTATTATTTTTCAGGTTTACTATCAATGAATAATAAATCTATAAACTGGGAGTAATACTAGGAATTATCTTGGAAGGGTTGTTGAGTAAATTGAGTGAGCAATTAATTACACGTGAAGTACTTAGAACACTGCCTATCATCATCATCATTATCACTCATTGACTCCATCTCTTACCCATCTTCAGGCTTAAGGTGGATAATGAGGGGCTGGTTTAGAAAATCAAATGTGGGACCCACTTAATGCTTGAGCTGAGATTAGGTGCTCCAAGAATGAAAAGAGCACTTGGAATAATTGTCCATTGGGTTGATTCTGGTGGAGCTCACTGTCAAATGTTTGGGGATCTCACTGCTGAGCCCCATCACCCAGTTTCCCACTGGCTTCTCCAATTGGCTTTCTCTTTGGACAAGAATGGAAGGAGCAACTTCCAGATTCCCTTTGTGAACCTACCCAGTAGTTCTTTAATTCACTCTTGGAGCCAATCTCTCATAGTATCTATGGCAATACCCATATTTACTGAGTTCTTCTTGCTCATTTTATGGGAATTCTGTTCTAAGCTTTGTACACAGATAGTTTCATTAAATCTTCATGAGGTCACCACACAGCACGTAGTTTTATTACGTCCCCATATTCCAGATCAGGGAACTCAGGCACAGGGAGAAGTAAGTAACTTGTGGTGGACCTGGTGATGGACGATAAAAAGACATTTACACACCCCTACATCCTGCCTACAGACACCTGCTCTCCCAGGCTTTTCTGCAGGTGCCTGGCCATATGACAAGCTTTGGACTTCTTGATGAAAAGGGGCAGATGCAGCAGGTGCACTCTCTCCCCATCCCAACTTTTTCCCTGCTGAGACAGTGGACAGATGGCTGGTGTGATGGGCACCATCTTGCTCCCTTGAGGGACTGGCCAAGAGAACTGCAGAAAAGCAGCCCTGACCTCATGGAGTCACTGAAACAGAGCTTGAGCCAGTTTCAGACCCAGGCAGTCCAGTACCAGAACCCGTGCCTGTGACCTCTCTTCTGCACTGCTTCTCACTCACCAGATCCCGTCCCTGCTTCTGCAGAGGCAAGGCAGGTCAGAGCAAAGGGGGCTGAGACCCTTGGGGAGTTTACAGTCTAATGAGTCGTTAGAGATGGAAACATGAACACGAGAGAAACATAAGGGGACCATTAGTGGTTCTTCCCATGCAGGGCAGACTAGACAGTGCTCATTCACACTGTGGAGGGCAGAAAAGCCCCATTCCTCTGAAGGAAGTGGGCCCGGAGGCTGAGATAGGAGGGCGGCGGGAGCAGAGGCCGGCGTGGTGGAGGGCTCTGCGTGGGGAAGAGTGGGAGGCATGCTTAGAGTGTGGTGGGAGAGAAGAGAAGTCCGTGAGGCTCCCCATGGGGAGGGACGGTGAGAAGGGCGCAAGAGCGGGAGTGTGGGTCAGATCACCTCTGCAGGGAAGCGTGGACTCTACCTTAAGAACAAAGAGAGCACACTTCCAAAGAGTTTCAATCTCGGGGAGATTGAAATGATCTGAATGATCTGAATCCTGTTGAGATAAAAAAGATCCTCTTCAACTGTCGTGGGGAGCGTGGACATGGGAGATGGTTTGGGGGCCGTTGTGGCTGTCCCCATGAGGACAGTCTCTGTGGGGGGTGGTCATGGACATGGCAAGAAGGTGAGAGGCAGGACATAAGTCGCAAAAGTGGACCCGACAGGGCCCCGGGGATCGGCAGAGGAAGTGAGAAAAGATCATGAAGCCGGCACTCACAGACTCCTGGGCCTGGGGGAGAGGAAGGGTGGTGGCCGTGGGCTCCGGAGGGCAGAGGTGGACATTGTAGGACTAGTTCTCTTCTGTTACCTGTGCTGTTGTTCATCCTCTTCTTTTAAAAACTATTTATTTATTTATTTATTTGAGAGAGCAAGTGAGCAGGGGTGGAGGTTGGGTGAAGGGAGTGGAGGAAGGGGACAAGCCGACTCTGTGCTGAGTGTGGAACCCATGTAGGGCTCAATCCATGACCTTGAGATCATGACCTGAGCTGAAATCCGGAATTGGAAGCTTATCCGACCAAGACACCCAGGTGCCCCATTATGTGTCTTTCTCATTTGAAGCGACACGGGGTCATGTTCACTGTGTTAATAAGCTCTGAGCGTAGGCAGTCACTTACCAAGTGAGCCTTGAGTCGAAATTTGGCGAATGTTGGAAGGCACCCTGGCCGGTGTGTGAGCCCTGCTGCAGGCTGTGGGGTGCGGGGGTGGTGGGAAGGGTCCTAGAGGGACATGACAAGGCCCCTGCCCCTGGGGGTGGAGAAGGAGGTCTAGCGGTCAGGCTTCCTAGGCTCGGTCTGGGAGGGAATGCTCCTGACTCCGGAATTTCCATGTTTCGAGGCCTGGAGAGTTGGTCTTCACAGATGGAGTTTTAGTGGCAGGGCGTGAGCTAAAGTGGAATTCATATGACTGGCAGGCCCCTGCCTGCTTGTGGGCTTCCCTGTGTGTGACCTGCATCCTCTCCTCTCCTGTGCAGGACACGGAGGTGCTGAACACGGCCGTCCTCACCGGGAAGGCTGTCTCGGTTCCCGTCAAGGTCGTGGGCATTCAGGAGGACGGCTCCGTGGTGGATGTGTTGGAGGCTGTGGAGTGCAGGTCTGCGGATGAAGACGTCGTGAAGGTACAAGGGGTCTTGCCATGGGCCTGCCAGGGGTCCAGTCCTCTGGGGGCCCATCCTTCTGTCCCAGGGTCTCCTGGGGCTGGAGCCAGGGTGACCACACTGAGGAGAGGAGGACTGACCCCTCTGGAGGGCGCCTGTTTCCCTCCCCAGAGTGGGGACCCCTGGCGTCTTAACAGAAATAATTTTCTTTCCCTCCTTTTGGTTATAGGACAATATCTCCCTAATTTTAGCAATCGTATGTCATCTCAATGTTTGCCAACGTTCTGTGTAAATAATATTATTTACCCAACAGATTTTCTTTCCTTCTGAAGGGAAGGAAAAATTCTTCCTCTACCCTTCATATTCTTCCAGCTGGACTAAGAGTTAAATTGACACGCGACTGATTAACAGGAGAAAAACCCCAAAGTTTTTTGTAGTGTGCATAGAAACAGTAAAAAAATTGAGACCTGAAGACATGACCATGGCAGGCAGTTTCTGTACTTTTAGACAAGGAGACAATGAATCTGGGAGGACTTGATAAGACAATGAAAACTTCACTGTTGGGGCTCCAGTTAGTAAGGAATTCTACCAGACAGGTGTTCTGACCAGCTCATCTGAGGCACACACCTAGTAAGGAATTCTAGAAAGAATGTGGGCTGGGGTAGTAAAGTAGTAAAAAGTAACAAGGGATGTTTGTACGCCTTTCTTGTCCTTCTTACCACTTTCTCTAAATTTCCAGGCTCAGTGATGAGGATGTCTCTTTACTTCCTGGTACCGGGAAAGGCATCTTTCACATGGGAAATTTCAGGTTGCAGAGGGGAGGGGCCGAGTGTCCTTGCACAGGTTGTCTCTTAAATCTTTTATTTAAAATAACCCATATGCCCCTGTACCCCATTATAAAGACATTACAGCCCGTGGTCTCAATGTGCTAATTTTTTGTTAATATAAATAAAAATTAAAATAGATTGGCCGTTAAAATAAAAATTCCTCCGTGTGCCTCCTAACTTAATTTGAGTACCAGTGGGATTCAGCTCTTGGTTTGGGTAATCTGGCTATGGGGCGTTTCCTCTGGGTTCTTCATTTTAATTAGCTGTATTTAGGACTCCAAATTCAGCCAGGAATCAGCCCATGGATTATTTCATGTTCTTTGCAGGGGTCTGTGTGAACTTCCTAATTTAGAGTTTCTCCCTGTTTTTTCTTGGCACACTGGTTGGCCATTTCCTTTTGCAACAGACCCTCATGGAGAAAGGACTTGAAGCTTCAGAGCTGTCCTTTCTCTCTCAGGTTGCTAAGGGAGCCCCCCAGGCCCATCCATTCATTCTAGAAGAATAAGGCAATAGGTTCTGTCTCCCCTCACATGCTGCAGTTTCCTGTTTAGAGTGGGAATTAAACTGGTCCCAGGCTAAAGAACTTGGTGGTAGACAGAAAAGCCTCTACGGTTCTCCTTGTGGTGGAAAAGATTTGGGAGGGGCTGATTTCTTCTTGTGGTGACCCTACAGGAGGCTGCGCCTTAAGCCAGAGAGATGGTTTTGATAAAGAAGAATTGATGTGTCTGTGAGGCCTAATTAAAAAAAAAAAGTTAATCCTTAGGAAACCCACGTTTGGCACAGCCTGCTTCCTGGGCTTGGAATGCTGGAGACAGAAGGGGGATTGGCTTCAAAACATACACAAGCCTTGCCTCAGGGCTCCTGGCGGGCCTTGTACTCTGTGGGCAGGTTGGATTAAACAAATCTAAAGCCTGCTGTATTCAGAGTTTAGGAAGATCTGAGCCAAGTCATAGAAGCTCCTCCTCACGGAAGGAGAAATACTGATGGTGCATCATCCTTGATTGCCTTTGACACTGCACATTATTTACTGTCCCCATGTCACCCCAGAGGGAGACACCGGGGTGGCATATGGAGATGGCATCCAGAGGATGGCGGCCAGCCCAAGTGTCCTACGTCCGCAGCCCCCTACACCTGTGCTCCCTCCTGAGAGCCTGGGGGAGCCTCCTAGGGCAGAGAGCTCTGTCTTCCAGTACTGCCTTAGACTTGCTCATTTCCCCTGCACAGAAGTAAACTAGAAACAGTCTCTGCCCAGCCTGATAGATATTTTGCTTTGGAAAACAATAGTTTTAGTGTCTTTTGGTTTCTGTTTTTGTTTTTTACTTAATGGTCACTTTTGTGGCCTCACAAAGATGGAGCTTTCTTTGAGCAAACTAGGACCTGATCTTCAGATTAACAAACCGGAGTGAGCAGACCATCAAGCTTGGAGCTGCTTCTCAGACTTTTCTAAGGGAGCCCAGGCTCTCTTGCGAACCCTGGGGCCCAAGTCCATTGGGTCTGTGTTAATTAATTGGCTGTGGTGCATTTGTCCTGGGTTTAGTGTCAATATTTGTAGTAAATGTTGCCTCTACTCTGAGACAAACAGAGTTTGTCTCTGTTGAGCCTCTGTTGACCCTCAGAGTTGAGCCCTGGCCTCGGCATCCTCCCAGGGCCATTCCCAACCTGGGCGGGCATTTGTTAGCACCCCATAGGGAGACCACCCCCTTAACCTGCACAGTTGTCATTCCATCACTCCTTCATGGTTGCAAAGAACACTGTGTGCTCCCCGGGGAGAATCTTGCAGGGTTCCACAAAGATCTTTGTGCCCTGGAAGTTCTGTGCATTGGGACTGTGATTTAGGTTAGGGAATAAGTATGAGGAAGCAGGAAGTAGGAGGATGGAAGTAGGAAGTTGGAAGTAGGAAGTAGGAAGATAAGTAGGAAGATGTAAATTGTCAGTGGATTGGCTTCTTTAATTTGGGATTGAATGACTTGGGAGGGGGTACAGAATCTGAGGACATAGATGATTTCAAAAGGCTGGAAGCTTGGCCTAATCTGGCAAGATTGGGAAGGATAAATTTTAAGTTTTAACTTCTATGTAAAAAAACACACACAGTAAAGGATGCATCTTAATCGTTTTGTGTGTGTGTGTGTGTGTGTGTGTGTGTGTGTGTGTATCATTTAATTTTTTGCCATCCTGTAAAAATTGTCAAATTCACATAGAAATCTGGGTTTCCAGCTTCTTATGAAAATCACAAGGTCAGGTTGCTTCCGGGGACCCTCACAGGGAGCTGCCTGGAGGACACCTCTGTGCATAATGCCTGGGCCCCCGAATCACCACAGTCCCCACCGCTCCCTCTCGCTCCCCCTCGGAGGCTTGTGGGGCATCTGTCCCTTCTCGTCGCACTGCTGCTGATGGTTTTCTGATGGTAGATTTCAGAGGAAAGAGAGGCATGACTTGTACCTTGGCTTCTATTAAAAATCAGCAACAAATGCCAGCTCTCAGTCACCCCGACCGAGAATTCTGTGTCTTTCTAGGCATGGGAGCAACCCTGGAAATTGGAGTGTCTTCTGCTCACGGGCGTCCGGAGGGCAGAAGGTCCTTGACATCAGTCACAGTGACATGTGAGGTTCAGGACATGGAGGGTGCAGCCTGGTGATGAGAAGAAGAGTCCCAGGGGCGAGATGAAGAGGGGGAGACAGGACAGCTCTCTGTAAGCCCTCCAGGGACCATCGTTCAGGAGATAATAGATTCAGCTACTTAAATCCCCAGAGTGGAAATTACAAGGGAGCTGCTCTAGCTCACTATAAAGAAAGAGAATGTGTATGTTTAGTAAATCCCTTTGGTTCAGATTTCCGAAGGTCAAAATCAGCTCAAACCCTGACTCCGTCTCCCTCTCTGTTGGACCTTGGACAAATCACTTCCCCTCTCTGAGCCCCATTTGTTATCTGTAAAACAGGGATGATAATGACACAGTGTGGAACCTTCCATAGGGAAAGTCAGCATATACCCAGAGGTAGAAGTACCAGTAATCAAAGGAGTCCTTGAAAATCCCTGAGAGGACACCGGGCTTCAAGAAGTTCAAAACACAGTTGATATTTAAAAAAAAAAAAAAAAAAAGATTGTCTCCTTGAGTTCGAGCTGTGGCCAGATCTCCTGGGACATCGTCAGGCAGGGCCAGTTTGGAAGGGAGAGCTCGGGGTATCACCGTAAGTTAGACTGAAACAGAGTTGGTGGTGGGAGACGTGCCCGTCTTTTATCCTTCTCCCTTGCAGCTTCCGCTGGACGTGTCCTCCAATGCAGCCCCCAGTCATTGCAAGCCCATGTCGTTGAATATTTGCTTGTCAAACCTACACGTGATGGAACCCCAAGATGGAGCTTTGGGGATGAGAAAACAAGCTTATATCTAAAGGAAGCCACATGGCACTGGATCTGTAACAGATCAATACACCTTCGTATCTGTGTATTTCTTCATATCTTCATATCTGTGTATGAATACCCATTCATATCTGTGTATTTTAACCCTGACATGATATGCTAGAGCTTCCCGGAGAGGACAGGCCAAGAGTGGTTACTGGGACTTTGTCGGAACATCTCCAGTGATGTCCTGTTACCAGAAGCCTTCAAAGAAGGGGGCAGGGGGACATGGCATTAAAGACCTGGCTCCGGCACTATAACCCAAGCTGCTTCTGTTCTCCTGGGGGGAGTTCTTGTTCCACAAATACTTAACTGATGATGGACATGTGGGGGCAATAAATCAGGTGCTCTGGGAGCTGCAGAGGTGGAACAGTATGAATTCTGTTGTTGGGAACTGACAGCTGAGCTAATGGGAATTCACAGTCAACATTGGTTGAGAACATAGTAGGTGACAGGTGCTATTTTAATGAGGATGTTAGAAATACGGGACCATCTTGTCTTCACAACAAGCTTTCAAGGTGGGTGATCCTACTATTGCCAAGTTTGTACACGAGGAGCAGGCACGTAGACGGGTGAATAAGTCCCTGGGGCAGTGAATGTGGGGACAGAGTTCCCAGGCAGTGGCCCCTGGTCATCTGGAAGGGTCACCCTCTGACCCCCCGTGACCAGGAGCAGAGCCTCATTCTGGGGCTTTCGATCCAAAAGTCTGTGATGTTTGTTGAAGACTTTTGTTTTCTTCCTCATCACCTGGAAGGTGGTGTATTAGTTTCCACTTGCTGCTGTAACAAATTTCTGTGAACC